TTGTGCTAGGAGGTGTCAGAATTCAGAGAAAGTGCCCATCCGGAGAAGAGTAAATCTTCACGTGTGGCTGGCAGAGAGGCTGCTACTCTGAGGCAGAGGTACAGAGATGCCAGGCACCTGCAAGGCGGTCATCAGCCTGGGTGATGATGCGCATGCCAGGTGGAAAGACCACAGATGGCTATTCCTCACCTCAGCACTCGGGTGACCCCTGCAGCCTGCCCCCTGTGATCATGTTCCTAGATGTTCTCCTGGTGACATGCAATGATATACCCCGTCTGTCCTTCCAAACCCCAGCAGAAATGTATGCCACTACTATTCTCTCTTCAAATGCCTGAGTCTAAAGCAATGGCTACTAATCTTTAAGAAAACACACACACCCCAGAATACTAACCCAGCTGAAGGCAGTGTCAACACGCACCGCATGTGACCCTGTGTGAACAGCCACCCAATGCAATCTTTCTATGGAGGCCTTTTGCATTAAAATACCGAGTCACCCTAAAATAGCACTTGGACCCTGCAGACCACAAAGAAGACACGGAGCAAACACAAACAGGAAGAGGAGCGGAGGCCAATCTGGGTTGGGGCTGGGTCCTGCTCTCTCCCCAGACACACCTCCTCCCCTTCCCAGTACTGCTGCACAACCCTCCAAAGGCGGGCACCCGGCTGGGGCCTGGCTCTGCCCCTCCACCTCCAGGAAGGGTGCCACTGGACTGCAGTCTCACACAGCCACAACGCAAAGGCCGTACCACAATGCCGCATGTTGGGTCTGGCCCCTGGCTACTCAACAAGGCAAATCACCCCACTGCTGGGACCCTTTCCTCCCCGTCTCCACGAGGGGCACCACACAGTCTAGCGGCCAAGGTCAAAACCCTTCACTGACCTCTTCCTCCACCCCCACCCCCTGGAGCACTCACGGGTGGGGTGACTCAGGCTGCCTCCGACCGAGCCCCGTCTCACTCACAGGAACCAGGCCTGGTCAGCACCTCAGGGCCTGCCAAGCGTGCACCCTGCCCCACCTGCCACCTGCGTCCTCCTCCCACCAGCCTTGCCCTGGCTGGCAGGCTTGTTCTCCGGTCATCACCTTCAGGGAATGCCCCTCGTCAGATGCAGCGCTCCAAGAACATCCACTAAGCAAACAAGTGGCAAAAGCAGAGACGGGAACAAGGAAAAGTAGAAACGACCTACACGGGAAGGGAAGTCCAGAAGAGGAGCAAGTGTGGATCCGTGCGGCGGGGCCCCGCGGGACGGGGATCTGGGAGAAACGGAGTGCCAGTTGCAGAGGAACGAAGGTGAAGGGCCTCGGTTCTCCCCCACCCGCTCCCGCTGAAATGCACGGCATCCCCAGGCCGGGCTTGCAAAAGGGCATTCAGTTTTGAACAACTGAATGGGAAAACTGGAAGAATTCAAAACATTTCAGTGACGCTGCAAAACCTTGTTTCCAGAGAGACGAGCACTTCTCTAGCCGACTGCCTCCCTGCAGTGTCTCAGCGGACCTGACCACCAGCTGGCCACAGAGCTCGCCTGTTTCTGAACCCCAACAGCCCCTGCACAAGCAAGCTGTACCGAGCACCTTTAACCTCAACACTGAACTCCTCCCCTGCCCTCTTGTATGCCCAACGACATTTTTTTCTTCTTCAAAGGGCCAGGGATATAGCTCAGCAGTACAAGCGCCGGCCTAGCAAGCACAAGCTCCCAAGTTTGATTCCTGGTACAAAAAAAATTGTTCTTCTTCTTCAAGACAGAGTCTCACTATGTAGTCCAGGCTAGCCTTGAACTCATTATGTAGCCCAGGCTGGCCTCAGTTTCCCGAGTGCTGGGATCATGGGTGCCACTAGGCCCGGCTCTTCTTTCTTCTTGCTTCTGGTTCCGGTTCTACCCTCTCCACAACTCACGTGTCGGCAGCCCCCACCCTGCCCTAACCTGCGCAGAACTCGAACCTCAGTCCTGTCCTAGTCTCCAACGACCACCTACAGAGTGGCAGGAGCTATCCTTTGGGATCACAACAAAGGTTCCCCAATCAACCCTGTGCACAGCCTTCGAGAGGCGCTCTGCTGCACCGCACTCTCTCCCCTGCATGGTGCCCATTTGGTTCCCTCTGCTACAATGTCCTACCTCTGTGCTTCTGCTCCTGCTGCTTCCTCCATTAGAATTTGCACTGATTCTCTCTCTGCTTAGCCGAATTATCACCTATCAATTTTCAAGTGCCTATTAGTAGTAAGAGGCTGTAGGAGAACTTAAGTGTTTTCAAACCTAGCAGGTGCTATACCAATATAAAGCATTATGTTATGAAATCCACACGGAGTCTGGATTCCATTAGAGAAACAATATGATTCTATTGAATGGAACTTAGCAGCAGGCAGGGTTAAAATCAGCAAGATAAGAACATGTTGGTAGATAGTCACAAAGAAGCCAGTATAGAAAACAGTCAAAGAGGGAAATGATGGTTGTGGTAATTCAGGTTCTAGAATAGGCAGCCCAACATGATACAAGCATGCATCTCAGGAAGGGTCATCTCTTCCTCAGCTGCTAGGGAAAGAAAGAGAACGATGATAGTCAGAGACGTTTTAACTTTTTAAAGCAGTGTGGTTCTTCTAATGTTGCCCAAGCTAGCCTCAAAGTCCTGGGGTCAAGTGACGCTCTTGCCTCAGCCTCCCGAGGAGCTGGGACTATAGGCAGGTGCCACCATGCCCAGTTTCAGAAACATCTTAGATAGAAAGGACTAAGCTTGAGAGTTCTCCCAGCGGCCTCCTCCACAATCCAGAGGCAAAGCAGAAAGGGTCCAGGAAAAGAAGAGTGCTGTAAAGAATTTGAACTTTGCCCCAAAGGAGGGCTGGCCTGTGTCCTTAGCTCACAACATGATTAAGGTGGGGTCTGGCCACATGGGAAAGCCTAACAATGTGCTTTGGGGGGGCGCTCGGGATCACATAGTATCAGTCTACCTGGAAATGAGACCAAGCAGGGGGCAACCTATCCACCCACCCACTGTCACACATCCATGCCAACAAGGCACAGATGCAGGCTGAGGACAACAGAAGCCTGGCATTTAGTGCTCCCTGTTCCCTCCTGTGCGCTTCTCCTGCTAGGTGACTTTAATTTGCAGCCTTTGTCTGTAAGGACGTGTAACCAGGAATGTGGGTGCTTCCGGTCCTCCCAGTGAACTGCTGGGCAGGAGGGCACAAAGGGTGTCAGAGAGTGGTCATGTGTGTGGTGGTACTGTCAGCTCTCTGACACAGCTGACCTCAGCTCTTCTCCTGGGTTAGCTGAAGTGCCATGCCAGGAGATGGTCATACTCCCTCTGGATTTCTAAAAAGGGCTAAGCATGTAGCTCAGTCACACAGCGCTCACCAAGCAAACACAGGCTCTGAGTCTGATCCCCAGCATTGTGAAAGAAAAGATTGTTCTTTCTGTCTCACTGAGAGCCACTCCACTCATGATAATACATTCCAGTTCTTGAAGAGGACTTCTGCTTTTACACTATATTGATTAGCGGGGTTAGAAAGTCCCAATCCATTACTCTGCCAACCAAGGTGGGCTCTGAGACACTGGTTAAGAGAAGAACCCGCTGCTGTTAAGTGAATCCTGTAGGAAATTACCTTTTCACACCGAAGTCACTGTGAACCTACCAGTCAAACTCCAGAAAGCACATAATCTAAAGAACTCTGAAACTAGCTATTTTTCTAGGATGTTCAAGAAGTGAAATTTAGCTAATATTTCTATTCCAGTCCAAGAGCCTTATGCTTTAAAATTCTGGCTTTCTAGTAAGCATTTAATGAGATGACTCTTTAGAAGGTAACTCCATGCAAGTGCTGTAAAACATCAAGAATATCAGAATCAGCCAGGTGCGGTGGGGCACGCCTGTAATCTCATCACTCAGGAGGCGGAAGTAGGTGGATCGAAGCAAATTGGTGGCCAGCCTGGACTACATAGTAAGTTCGAGGCCAGCCTGGACTACATGGCAAGACCCTGTCTCAAAAAAACCGAAAAAACAAAAAAAAACAGAAGATCAGAATCACCACCTGTGAGATGAAGAAGAGTTTAGGAGAAAATCTATACTGACACACTATCTGGGACAACCACAGCAAAACAGATAAACATATGAGTGTTTAGGTCCACACGAAGCAGATAGCAAAGAAAACCCCACATAGACCCCAGGCACAGGAGCAGCTGCAGTTTTGTGACTCCAACTTCACTGCCACAATAAACTGGTTGTGTAGGAGCTAGTAAAAATGATTGTGTCCATTCTACGGCTAGCAGAGACTTTGTTCTAGGTGTGATCACAGCTCAGGAGAGGGGAACTTCGCTGCCCTGGAGGCTGACCTCATCCCCAGACCCCACTCAGGTAACTACCCTCCAAAGACCATTGGTGCGGGGTGGCGGGGAGGTAGCAAGGAAGTTGGTCAAAGAAAAGGAGAAACTTTAAAATCCTTAAAGGAAGAGGACAACGGGGGCACTTTCAAAGGCCACGCGACTGCCAGCGGGCCCGCTGTAATGCACGCCTATAAAATCCGGCTGACAGAGAGGTTTATGGCCACTCCGCAAGAGCAACCCCGTCATCAGCCACAAAAGGGAGAAGCGTGGCTGGGAGAGGCGGTTGTCACGCCCAAGGACATGCAAAAAGCTGGAGCTGCAATTCGGGCCGAACCCGAGCGGTCACCGAGTGACAGGCACCGGGGTAGGAAGGGCGGCTCGGGACGCTGCGGAAGGTCGCAGGTGCGCGGCGCAGAGCACCAGGAACCGGGTGTAAGGCCGGGCACGGCCGGGCACGGCCGGGAGCGGGGCGGGGAGCGGGACAGGGAGCGGCCGGCCCTGCCCAGGCGCCACACTC